GGGGGGGGGGATTGTTTCACTCCACGGTCGCTTTCACAGTCTGAATCTAGTCTCCACCAGACTTCTTTTGCGGGGTGAATAAATCGTAGAAATCAGCCTAAAAAGGGTATTAATTGGCCAGAGAAGATAGCCGGCCAGAGAAGCTCCATTGCCCCGCCAAGAAGCAATGGAGCTTCTCTGGCTGGCTATCTTCTCTGGCCAATTAATACCCTTTTTAGGCCGATTTCTACGATTTATTCACCCCGCAAAAGAAGTCTGGTGGAGACTAGGCTGAATCGTCGATGAGACACGGGCTGGTGTACCTCCCCTCCCAGACTCCTGCGGTGGGGCTGATAGCTTTGCAGCAGTCTGGACGCTTAGGCCTCAATCGGGCCACACCAATTTGACTAGTCGGTTCTCGGATTCGTCTGCTTCATGTTTTTCTGATTTGTAAAAAGAAAATATTTCAGGCTCTTAATCAACTGCAAAAATGCTCATATTTTGGCCCCAACAGTTGAAGGAAGTTCCTTCTCTTCAGAGTTGTTACAGTTTTTCAATTTACCAATCCAGTGGTTTGATTAGAAGTTTGAAATCTGTGAACCAACAAATTAAATTGATGTGGCCTGAAGAGTCGCTGCCTGCAATTTTGAAACTGGGCCCGACTGTATCTGTCCTTGGTGCTGAAATCCCCCAACAGGGCACAGAAAATAAAAACAGCCCCAGGCATCCTATGATAGCCCCAAATGCTATGATAGGAGCCCTGAGGTCAACATGCCAGGCTGGTTTGTACTTCAAACAATGAACTTCAAACTCTTAAAATTAAACCACTACATTGATAGATGGAAAAACTAAAACAAGGGACTTCCTTCAACTGCTGGGGCATTTTGGAGTTGATTCAGAGGTTGAATTTTTTTGCAAATCAGAAAGAAGTAAACCAACAAATTAAATTGGTGTGGCCCGAAGAATCTCCTCCTGCAAATTAGCATCCGTGCCAGCCGACCGGCCGGCTGTGTCTGTCCTTGGTGCTGAAATCCCTTGGGCTCCCGACGGCCTAGCCACAGCCAATTTAACCTCCCGCCTCTGATGATGGCGGATTTTGGCGCACATCATAGTCCGACCACAAAGGGGATTTCTCCCAAGTCTCCCAGGACTTGTTGATGTGGTGATATCGGTGATTAATGGGATTTTTATAACAGGGCTGCTGGAGAGTTGATTGTGGCTGCTCTTTTCATCGTGGACACACACACGGATCTGTTAGAGGCACAGGGATCAATGTCCGGCCTAACCTATTGAACTTTGTCTTCTCTCTGTTTTCATTGATGTATAGTGGAGTAGCATGTATTTTCCTCTCTTTGGTGTTTCAGACTGTATAAATTGTTTAGTAGTAGATGAAGTCAAAACTTGATATTCTGGCGTTGAGTAATTTTTTTTTTTTGGTTCTCCTTGTTGTCGTTGAAGTATCAGAATATAGTGGACTGTCAGATATTTTCTTCTCTTTCTGGACAGCAGAATTGAGTAAATAGTAGATGTAACCCAAACTTTTTACTTAAGTTGATATTCTGTTTTTGAGTTATGTCCATTCTGGACAGCACTCCAGATTAATTTTTGCGGTTTAACAGAACTACATATAAATTGTTAGTTGGTCAGTGGCATCGGTGGCATAACAGTTAGACATAGAGCATTGGACTCGGAACCAAGAGGTCCTGGGTTCGATACTCACCGTGGCCCGACGTTGTGCCCCTGGGAAAGGCACTTTACATGACCATGTACGCTGGAGTGACCCTCCTATATATAGGCTAATCTCACTACAGATTTGCTGTGCCAATGTGTCAACATCAGCACATTTGCCACGGAGAGCTGTTGAATTTTTTTTGTTTGTTTGAACGGCAGAACTACATAAATTGTTAGTAGATGTAGTGCAAACTTTTTTTTTTTACTTATGGTTTTCCATAATGTTAGCAGCCAATTTAAAAAAAGATTAAGGTAATACAACTGAAATCTAGACAAAATCCTGCATGCATTGGATTTGAACAGTTTCCTTTGGGTCAATCTATAGCTCACTTGCTGTGCAGAGGATGAGCAAAAATTGAATTATGAGCTGCACGCTTTTCATGTACAATTTTGCTCTCGTCTATGGAGAAGAGACTATTGCTTTGTCAGCATGAAAGTTCATCTTAGTTGGTAAATTACATTATGAAAAACTTAAACCCAAATGCTGTGGACACGTGATTTTTCGACTTCAGACAACCTTTGACCCTTTGCTGACGTCACACGTGGGGAAAAATCATGTGTCCACAGCATTTGGGTCAGATAGCTGAGGAAGACTGAGCGATTCAGTCGAAAATTTCTGGTGAGTCAAATTTTGAGTTGGAGAAAAGTTTAAGTTTTTCATACTATTGCTTTGTTGAATATATGGGAAGCCAGGGCCTCTCTGGAAAGCCAGTGCCAAGTAAGTCACTGAGTGTGCCACCCTTGTAAAATAACACAGAAATAGATAAAGAAACTAGGTAAGATCAATGCCTGATCTTGCTACTAACAATATTACAAATTGTATGATTTATGATTGGATATGGTTGCGAAAAGTCTGTCCCATCTATCAACCATAAGCCTCAGTATTTTGTATGCACACCAGTCAGACTTGTTGCACATTTGGCTTGCTTTTCCTTTTACAAGAAACATGAAAGGCTAAAGAAATTCTTTAGTATTCATGTACAAAACTGCAATATCCACTTCAAAAGATACAGTTGCCCGTACTTCAATGAAAATGGTGATATACATGTACCAAAATAAGTGGAAATTTGTAAGAAGAAACCCAGCATAATTTTCCTTCAAACAGAAGACCGTTTTCGGCGTGTGTCGGGAGGGTTAGGTAACAACCCCTACAGGAAATAGACCGGTGATATACAGCTTTGAAGAACTGCCAACAATTTCTGCCCACAGACCAAGAGCGGTTTTAAGTGGTTCAAGCTTGAGTCTTGTGAAGAACAGGTTGTCCACAGCTGTCAGGCCTGGGGGAAATTTTCTTGTTCCGCTCTTCGTGGCTGAAGTTCCCAGAAACTACCAGGACAACTAATATTGTATAATATTGAATTGAATTTGTACGTACTAAGTAATATTGTATTTTGATATGCCTTGTATCTACATGCACTTATGTGTCAGTGGTAGCCGCTACCAGCCTTGTTGCTGCCTGGTTGCCACTTGTTATGCAATGTTGCATTTAAATAAACAAACAAACAAACAAACTCCGACAACAGTCCTATATCATGGGTTCCTAAGGACCTTAATCTGATTTTTTTTATATGCTACACATAGAATTCTGGCTTACATACCAGGTGTAGGTATCTGTAATGTTGCCGCTTGTTGTTCAGCCATCTACCGTGACTTATGAGGGCCTGCAAGGGGGGGTCCCGACAACGCTCTACGCTGAATTCAGAAACCTCTCGATTACGCTTTACGATAAATTCCAAGTGGCTACAACGTATTACGTGGAATTAAAACACTGAATACGCTCTACGCAAAAATATTAGAGCGGTCCGTCTACGCTCTACGTAGAATTAAAACGGCCGATTACGCTCTACGGAAAAAGGCTTGCGGGGCCCCCACTTATGACAGCCTCCACTCCCTCTTAACAGTTATACCTTTAAAGCTTAAATAATCCCACCCAAAGGTATTCATACACGCTGCATGTGATATAGAGTGCCTTGATCCTGTGGTGCTTTCATTGAATTCCAATCCCTTCGGGAACTTATTATAACATTATAGCCAGTCTCGATACAATTTTGAATCTGTTGACAAAATGTGTTGGTAACCCCTAAGGTCTAAATTACATGCAACTTCGTTTTCTACAGATGGAACTCTTTAAGTTTAACAAGTCCTGAGGCCACACCAATTTAATTTGTTGGTTCTCGGATTTTTTCAGAAAAAATATGAA